ATTTTAACTGGACCCACCAATAAAAATAATGTTAATAGCTATTTCTTAGCCACATACAATATTTTAAATAACATTTCAAAAGCCAAACATGATTGAGTTTGGGGTCAGTTTTATTAATCTTTCATGTTTTTTTAAAGGAAATTTTTCCATTCAAGTTCATTAAATGTAAAAGTTTTTTTGAAATTGATAAAATATTTATTACTATTTTAAATAACTGCTTATTGTATGCAGTTTCGAATAACATAATTACTCCAGACATTATTGCTTTTATTACTCTAACCATTAATAATAATAATAACAATTAATATTAGAGTGATTTCTGAAGGATCATGTGACACTGAAGACTGAAGTAATGAAAGTAATCCCTGAATTAAATGATTGAATTAAATGATACACTACTTTAAAATTATTTTATAGTTCACAATTATTATTAGTTATATTTCGCAATTTTACAATTTGTACTGTATTTATGATGAAATAAATGCAGCTTTGGTCAGCAGGAGAAGCTTATTTTAAAATATTTAACAATTATACTGACCCCAAACTTTTGAGCAGTTGTGTATAGAATATTTTCTAAGTGAAAATGTGCACTTTAATTTCGACACCCACAGATATCGTCACCTAATATAAATCAGAGAGGTCAGACTCTCTCATACAGAGCCTCCTTTCAGTTGTCAAGTTTTGTAAAAATCTATCTATTGAATTAATCAATCTATGAAAGAAACTTTGGCTAGAATTCTGCATCATAGGCTTGAATTATTGAGAAACGGATGAAGCGAGACTGCATCAGATCATTGTGATCAGCTGTCAGTGCACAAATGAACAAAACAGGCCTAACACAACATATTAGAAGATTAAAATATAGAAAAATTATCAGATGGTAACTTTTCCTAATGAATGAACCGCTCTCGTTAATATTTCAGCATGTTTCACTTTCGTATTAGACATGAAACGCACATTTGCTGGCAGGAATGACATCCCGCCCTGCTCATCATTCTCTCTTCTTATAGCTGTATACATGGCTATCATAAGACACTGTGATACAGCCTGGGTCGTTAGTTCATTGGACCGTTTTGTTTTCTCACTACCATTGATCTGCTCAATCGTGCAGAGACCAGTTGATCTCGGACTGATTGATTTGGCACGGATTTGAGCGCGATTACTGGACTCGCATATGCCAAACAAACCGTGGAGAAATGAGACAGATTCCGAAACAAACATCAGTGTGTGAAAGCGCCCTAATGGCCCGTTTCCACTGAGTGGTACGGTTCGGTTTGGTATGGTTTTATGGCCGTTTCCACTGTCAAAAGGCATACCGAACCAAACCGTACCGTACTACTTTTTCAGGACCCTTTCGAAAAGGTCCCAAACACAAGAATGGGGACCAAAAGGCGGAGCTAGACGCGCAGCTGAACGCTACTGGTTTACAGAAGAGATGCGTCATTCACTTACAACAAGCCAGAATGTAAACAAAGGACCCGCCATGTTCGAAATACACAGCGGAATTATATATTCATATATCATCGTCCTGATGAACAGCCACACAGCCATGGAGTAGAGCAGGATCTACCCTGTACTTTGCAGTTGTTTTACGAGCCAGTCTGACGCGCGAGAGGTTTTGCTTTTCTTCCTTGCGCTTGCCACGCGTCTAACATTATATCTGAAATAAGAAACTTCTTGAGCTGATAATAATAATAATAATAATGTGCGCTTGATTATTGACAAGCTTTGGAAACCCGATCCTGTGAGAAGCTGACAAACGAGAGAATGACACATTCAGAAAGAAAAGGACAAATGCGAGAGTGGAGCGCGGGAAAAAAGCAGCATGTTATTTCTTCAGCAAACGTGATCAAACTGCCTTGTTTTAATTATTATCATCACCTTTTGGACTAATATGAACTGGGAATGATGGAATGACTCTCTATCAGAGGCTTCATGTGCTGCTGAAGATTACAGACACAGATGAGAGGTTTTCGCTGACTGTAGGTTATACTTTGTGTTGTTTTGAACCTAATTAAGAACGAGATGTCTGATGTTTGTAGTTTTTCTGTAGTTGGTAACATATCGGAGACTGTAAGGGGCCATAAGATTGTATTTGTACGCAACTACCACAGTCGCAGACGAACTTTTGTGAACAGGGCAGCACTGGCCTGAGCATCTATCACATTACATTTAATTATATTGTGGGCACTTCAGTGTAACTGTGACGCACAAACCCATTTTCATGTTGCATGGATAAATTAAAAATAACCAAAAATACTTCGTAATAATTTTCAGGAGCTTTTTTGATTTTCACCCAGGCTAAAAAGAGAAAATATAAAAATGTCGTCTCTTTATTGATCATGCATTCATGTCAGATAAATGTGTGTGCACTTGAAATTCTGAGAAAAGCTCAGTGGTGTTCTCATATTTTTGCAGGTTTGTTCAGATGGCGCCGCAGTATTTCTTCTGCAATCTTCCTCCTAGTGAAAGTAAAGAGATCCTGCAGAATATTCTGGACCGTGACAGAACCGGTATCCCTAAAGCAAAAACTCGACCAGAACCAAAGACAGAGACGCAGGAGAGCGAAGCACAGGAGCGATGTGTTTTACAGTAAACTCAGCGGAGAAACAATCATGTAAATATTTTCAATTGAAGAGACACTCATCGTCAATCTGTTTGGGTTGTTTATTATTATTTTTGTGGGCTGATTATGTACAGAATGAATAAATTATTTCACTGGTTTGGGTGATTTGTGGTCAAACTGGCCTGGAAGGTTAAAGTGTGTTCAGACGGTCAGATAATCAGTCATTTTCTGCATGATGGTGTCCATTCTGTCCATGGGGATCACCATCACTGTGCGAAACGGCTTCATTGGCTCGTCATCGTACGACCATTTCCCTGTCGCACACGAGTCCGCCTCATCCTGAACACAGTAGCTGAACTTCACCGTTGCTTGCTGTGGGGAAGAAAAAGAAGAAATGTTTAGATGAGGGGTCTCAAACTCAAATTGGCAGGGGGCCATTCCACTGACTGAAAATTTTTAGAAGGGCCACTTTAACATTCAAGCACAACAAAACATAAGGGGAAACCTGGGGTTCGTTCTTCGTAGGTGGATTCCTCGGTTAGCTGGATTTGGATATTGACGATTTGACACGATCCAGGATCGTTTCATTCATCAAAACTGATCTGAGTTGTTGTCATAGCAACAGTTCTGCTGGCTCAATCCTGGTCGGAAGCAGGTTTAATTCATATAATCGGCTCAGTTCAAGCAAAGATAATACAGAATGTACCGAATTCTGATATTTTCTTACAGTAGAAGTTATTTACACTTGGGAAAATACTAAATTTTTTAAACCTATATAAAGTTATAGTTATTAATAAAATAAATAATATATTAATAAAACTTATGCAATCTGCACCCCCAAAATGAAAGTGCAAAGAGAAAACTTATTGATATGAACTTTTTAGATCACTTTAGTACAATTTGTGTATGATACAAAAACTTTGCATACGCCAGGTTTCACGTTCACATTTGGATTTACTAACCATGAAATGAATGCGAGTATGTGCGTTGGTCCATGCCGACTTCATGTCTGGCGTACGTTTTATTTCAATTGGCGACTCCTAGAGGCAATTATGTTAAATTGCACACTACAAAATTCCTTTGCGCCGCGCAATGCCAGCTGTATGGGACAGGATCATCCGCATGTCTAGCACGTATATAAGGTTTCCATACCATGCTGTCGACAAGTCAAACATTAAAGTGCAACTTGCAGCGATCGCTGGTTTTTTCAATGTAATCGGAGCGATCGACTGCATGCACGGTGCTATAAAGGCACCACTTGAAGATGAATTTGCAAATTTTGTATTTTTTGTAAATTGCTTGCTTTTACCATTGCTTTTTCGTTGGGTTTTGCCAAGGTAGAGTTATTACCATATTCATACAGGGGAAGAGGCAGGGAGGGGTTTTGCACTCATGCATGTTGTGCTCAGTTTCACGTTAAGTCAAATGTATAAAGAGAATATGTGTGGGATTCCGCGTACGCAGTGTTTCATACATCTGAATTTTTCACTGCGTACACACATTTACAGCTTTGTGCGTACGCAATGTTTTAGTATGAATTCAACGCAAGTCTTCGTACATGAGGCCCCTGATTATTAAGCTCTGATGACTTTGACAAACAGAGCGTAATATAAAGAGAATGTGTGGCGAGTTTATGCTGAATTCAATGACGTCGCACCTAGGCTCTCCCCCGTGCTGCTGTTTTGAAGGCTGTCAGATGTGTGTGTGTGTGTGTGTGTGCGGTGACAACTCTCACGCACGCTCGTTACAATCAGTATTAATAATCTGATCAAACTGAATACAGTCTTACATCCACAACACATGGCAAGCATTGCATTGATAATAACAAATAATCATATTAGGTTACAAACAGCCCGACAAGTTGTTGGTTAGCACGTGCGCAGGGGTTTGGTGTGTGTGTGTGTGTGTGTGTGTGTGTGTGTTGTTGAAGCGAAGAGGGAGACAGAAACGAGCGTTTTTTTTTTTTTTTCGCAATGAGACTGTTTTCAGTGATGATTGGCACAAGTTACATGTGTCCTCGTTCATTCACCGGCTGCAACTAAAGGAGAAGGGAGTTAAGTTACCCTGGAGTAATAAGTGAATCTCCCCTAATATCTCTAACACAACAAAGACACAGAGCAGGAAAGGCTTACATATGTAATATCTTTTCCTGAGGCGATTTAAAGCAAAATACACAATGACACTCAATCAAACACATCTACAATGATGAGGAACATGGTTACTTACTGGGTTATTAACACTCAGCAATGCCACATAAAGAAAGGACGGGCTTTAAAGGAATAAACAGTGTGAGGAGAGATCCATTAGAGTGCACTGGGCAAGTCTGAACATGTTCCGCCTACGCGTGCGCGGCAGCCAGGTCTGTACAATTACGTAATTTATCGGTTTAAAGATATCGGCCTAATTTAGATATCAGCTTAATAACAATAATCTTAAAACTAGCATTTATTTGCCGATAACGCTATGGTGACATATCATGCATCCCTAATATATACATCTCGTCTTCTTTCTTTTTGTGTCATCGGCTGATCACTTGACTGCGTGAAACCAATCGAGGATCAAAACATGATCTCTCTGGACAGAAATTTAAAACGTGGACCAATCGCTCACTTTTTTAAATTTCTAATTATTTTGTTTAATCCCGCCCCTTTCCGCATTGCCGTACAACAGAATTTCGCAAGCTCAAACTAGAGTGTGACTGCTGTTTTACCCTGTTCCTGGAGATCTAGGCGGTGTCCGAAACCGCATACTTCCATACTATACAATACGCTAAAATCAGTATGCGAGCCGAGTGGTATGTCCGAATGCAAAGAATCCGAAAATTAGTATGCAAGAAAGACCCGGATGACCTACTACTTCCGGCGAGATTCTGAAGTGAACATCCCATGCACGCCGCGCTATCACATGATGCCCTGCGAGAGAATTCATGAATGGGAGTGAAGCGACGCAACTGACGCAGGTAGGTCACGTGACCATGATAAAAAGGCGGATGTAGTACATCCGAATTCCATTCATACTTTTCACAATAATACAGTATATAACACAATTTATTAATGGCCGAGTAGTACATTTAAATTCAAATGCAGTACCTACTGAGGAGGAGGAGGAAGAGGTTTCAGAAGCAGCCTTACTGTCCTGCAGATTTCAGTTGCAACCCATATCAAACACACCTGCCTGTAATTATCAAGTGCTGTACAGGTCAATTAATTGGTTCAGGTGTGTTTGGTCAGAGTTGGAGCTGAACTCAGTAGGAAGGTAGATCTCCAGGAGCAAGCTTAAGCACCACTGCTCAAGGGTTTAAACATTGAATAATTTTCATTTTTGAGTGAACTAACCCTTTAACCACTTAACCTTTCAAGCCACTTTTCAGACTTAAAAACTGACATATGCATATTAAATATAAATAAGTTTAAACCAAAAAAACTATTCGTTTCTTTATTCAGTTTTTGTTTTAAAAAAAAGAAAAGAAAAATGAAAACCTGTAACCATTGATTTCCATGGAAATACAATCACGGTGGAAGTCAGTGGTTACAGCTTTTGTGTAAAGAAAGTAAAACAGGTTTGGAACAAGTGAAGGGTGAGTAAAGGATGACAGAAATTTCAGTTTGGTTTGACTTCAGACATTAGTAAAATGTACCTCATAAAAGAACTCCTCCTCGTCATTCACGAACAGCAGCTCGTCTTTAGCCTGGTCTCCTGCAGAAATGCTCTTCTTCTTCAATGGCTTGCATGTTTTGCTGATCATCAGACAGAACTGGCATTTACCGCTGGGTTTATTGGTCCTTTGAGCTTCAGCCATTTCCTTCCTGCAGAACCACACAGAAGACAGATGATGATGATTATTATGACAATATACTTAAAATAATTTCTTTATTAAATTAATGACACTGAATTAAATGAAAAAAAATAGTGAATGTGCTGTTCACTTTATGATTAAAGTGACCCCTAACCCTAACTATGACAAATGTACATCAAAATATTTCACTTATTTCATACTTATTTTTTTTTTTTAAAGCTTGGGTATTCAGGTAATGGTCATCCCATGAAAATTCATTTACATATTAGACACACATATCATTTACATATACTTGGGTGGTATCCAAATTTTAATACCGTTAAACCTGCTCTCTATTTTACCCCAGTATCCGGTATTATCGTGCATAATTTAAAAAATTATGACGTAAGGCTCAAACAACATAATCAGACTGTTGGTTTCTGCCTAAACCATTCAGAAACTGAATACCAAATATGCAACCTTAGGTTTGCGGTCACCTGTTTGTCTTGTTCGTATTAGAGATCTGCGCAGGATGCTCTATCCCATTCTCACACACACGCAGAGAGAGAGAGAGGGGAACGCACAGCACTGCGCTCTCACATACACGACTCGCCACCTCCCCTCTCTCTCTCCTCCACATTGTCTAGTGATGACAATCATGCATATGCATTTGTAGGCATTAAATAAATAATTGTAATATTTGATACTTGTCTCCTATTTAAGTGCATTGTTTTTTGTTTTTTTTTATGACGGTATAACACCCTATTCACACGGGGCTTCAGGGTCAACGCTTGGCTGAAGGCGTTTGTGAAGCTGGGGCTAAAGCGATCGTCATAGCAGCGTCAGCCAATGAAATTCAGTCAGCAATAGGTCAATGTTTTGCTGGTGTATTTGATTACAGCGATATGATTGGCTGACGCTTTCGTCGGCGCTTGAAAAGTTGAGCTAGTCCCAACTTCTGCAGCGAGCAGCACCTCGGAAGTGGCGCCGACAGATCCACAATGCAATTCGGCAACGCCTGACGTCACCCATTCAAAGTGATTAGGAAGCATTGACACTGACGCTCCGTGTGAATGGGGCGTAAAGGTATTGAAACTGACACCGTTGCGATTTTTAGATCCTGTGGTATACCATATTACGTAGTGTATGAGGGTGACAGGCCGGCCGGAATGTGTAAAAAAAAAAAAAAAAGTCGTTATCATATGGACTTGTTCCAAAGAGCCGACCCCGCAACCATACGGGACTAAGGCCAAAGAAGAAGATATACATATATATATACACTTTTGAAATCATAAAATATATCAAACTAAAATGAAATCTGCACTGATATGTGGTAATAGTGAAGCAGGTGTGTGCGCTCCCTCTATTGGGAACTCTTACTGCAGTTGTTTGTGCAGGGGCA